CTTCCTTTGCCTAGCATGTCCTGGTTTTAGCACTAAATGTCCCCCATCCCAAAAAAGACATCAGTCCTTGGCAACCAGGGCCCTAAGTAACACAGCATCAAATAAAACCTGTCTGTAATATAAATGCATAAGTCTATGATATGTATATATCAAAAGGAAAGCTATCAAAAATTATAATGGGAGACTGGCATATTTCTTGTAATCTTTGACAGCTCAGTTAAGTACAAAGGAAACTTAAAAACAGATTTGAATATAATCAATAAACTCGTTTTAATCTATACAGTCGAACATTGTAGTCCACAGAGAAAAGACTTTCTTTTCACCTCATTCAATAACATTGACAAACCTCTCATATGTGGTTTATCATGGAAGTTAGGCCAGGACGAATCTTTGCTGGAAGCTTGCCATTCCATAGATGCTATTTGAATCTGGGGGGACTTTGTTGTTGTTGTAAACAGAGGCAGTTTTGGTATTACTGTCTTAAAATTCTTTCAAGCTAAAACTATGGTACTCAAGTTATATAGAGTAAAATATTAGGACTCCAATCTCTCTTCTAGAGATTTGAAATTCTACTCCAAGCATCTTGGGTATGTCCTTGTACACAGTCCAAAATGCTTAAACTATACAAAAATCTCTTTTGAAGAAAAAAATTTCTCATGGACCCAGGCTGACCTAAGTCGCTTTTATTAAAATGTAACTTAAATATGTACACTCATAAAGACCAGTTATAGGGGTGCTTGGATGGCTTAGTCATTAAGCATCTGCCTTCAGCTCAGGTCATGATCCCAGGGTCCTGGGATCAAGCCCTGCATCGGGCTCCCTGCTCAGTGGGAAGCCTGCTTCTCCCTCTCCCACTCCCCGTACTGGTGCTCCCTCTCTTGCTATGTATCTGTCTGTCAAATAAATAAATAAAATCTTTAAAAAAAAAAAAAAGACCAGTTATAAACATCCAGGCATTATAGCTTTTATATAACCAAAATGCCAAAATCAATTTACAAATAAATGTAACTATAAAACTTTATTTTTTTAAAGATTTATTTATTTATTTGAAAAAGAGAAAGAGAGAGAGCACGCACATGAGAGGAGGGAGGGCCAGAGGGAGAAGCAGACTCCCCGCTGAGCAGGGAACCCGATGTGGGACTCAATCCCAGGACTCCAGGATCATGACCTGAGCCGAAGGCAGTCGCTTAACCAACTGAGCCACCCAAGAGCCCTGTAACTATAAAACTTTAAAACACCAAACTAATAAAATTAACTTCCTGCAACAGATAATATTGTTTTGCTGGAATTAAAACACCATTTTGGGTTTAACAACAGAAAGATATAGTCTCAGGTCTAGTTGCTACGTGTTATCACTATCTGATTTTTGGCTTCAACAATACTAATGCAGACAACTTATAAAGCATGTGTGCAAAACAATATTAATAACCTCAAAAATGTGTTTGCTACCTTGAAGAAATCAGGTACCATAATTTAAAATTCTACTAAAACCCATCCTGAGATGCCTGCATAAATGGGTGCCATTTCATAATAATAAAAATCGTAGTAATGACCAACATCTATTGAACTTTACTATATGCTCCAAGTCTTTCACATGTAATTCTAATCCTTGTAATATCATGATGAAATCAATACCACATATTTATCTCCATATTATCAAAAGAAGAAACTGAGGATCAGAGAGGTTGAGTAACTTGCCCAAGTTTCACAGCTAGTAAGTAAAAAAATGAATTTGAAGTCAGACAGTCTGGCTCCACTCAATCATTACACCAAATTACTCGTCTCATTGCTTTGGACATAAGGTAGTTATCGGGGGTTACCAAATCTGCATTAAATGTAGATCTAATTCAGTTATTGCTGAAACCAGCAACAGCAACTCTGTCATTGTGTTTTCACTACATCACCTGCTGCTAAGTAAGTTGCTGCAACTCGTGCATATGAAGGTGCAACTAGCATGAGACCATCATTCCTTGCCAATATAGTGCTGATCCCAGGAATTGTTCTTTTGAGTCTGACAAGCCTGTGCCCTGTGTGGACTCACCGTTCTCTCCATGTACCTCTAATTAAACTCCTCTCTGCCTCATAACCTGAGCCACTAGGCCTGCCTTTGGCTCACATGGGAAGATACAGAGGCAAATACAGGCCCCATCATTGGCTTCGGAGTTGCCATCAAGATAATCCAGAACACATTTTTATTATTAATTAAGATTATCACTGAAGTAAAACTGCTAATTTCAGAGAAGACACAGATTCCTCAAAATGTATATATCCCCAGAACCCCAGTGGTCTGAGAGACCCATGAGTGATATGAGCTCACACTGAGGAACACTTTAAAAACAGCAGTATGAAACCCTCCTTGTGTCTGACAAGAACATGATTGAAGACATCATTCCAAACACTGTCATATTTGTGAAGAGTTCCTTTCTGCTCTTAGAATCAAGAATTGTGCTTCACTTAAGAAGTTTTTATTTTTTGTTTTATGTTCTGGACATGTGACATTTTGTGTTTTCATACTTTTTCTGCACAGCTCTCAGCACGATCTGTAATTATACATTCATTTACAGGGTTTCCTTGATGAATGTCCGTTCCTCACATTCATCTGTAATTGCTGTCAGGACAGAGACCGTGTCTGTCCCTGCACCCTTCACAGAACCCGGCACATAGTAGGTCCTCACTGAGTGTTTGTTAAATGAACAAATGGGTGAATGAGTCAATGAATAAATAAAACATATGAGTCATGGGTTGGTCAGTTCTCCTTTTTCCATGAGATGCTGGAAAGTTTAGAGCTGGATTTGTTTACCTTCATACCAAGTGTAGAAGGTCTTATGCTTGTATTTTTGTATTAGCTTCATGCTTAATACCATTTTATATCTCTACCCTTAGTCTTTTTTCTTTCTCATTTACTTCTAAGTTAGTCTCCCTTGCTATGTTTTATGAAGCCCGATAAACTGTCTTAAATTCCTTGTAGAACAAGGTAGGTGATAAATATATTTATCAAAGTCTTTTAAACATACATTTAAAACCCTAACACTAAACTCTGTCCCAACAAACATTTGATCACCTGTAAACTCTTAAAGAATAGCTGTGATTTGCTAATTCTAGCACCATCCTAACACTTAAAGCCAATTCAACGCAAACCCAGAAACCACACCATAAGGTGCGTCATTTCAGGCAGTGTTATACATTTTGTATCTAACAAGCAGATTTCTAATAAGGCTAGGCAATTGGACAAGAAAGAATATATGGCTTCCCACAAAAATGTATGGATTTGGGATCAAAGAATGATTTATCTTTAGTGGTTCCTCAAAATATACTGAAATTACAATAATAAAAGGTTTGCTATTGGGGGTGGGGAGATGAAAAGTGGACGGGGGTGGGGGAAGCAGGGCTGGGCAAAATCCTGGTCCATACACATTGACAAAAGTCTGATCGCTTTACAGAATGAAGGTAGAACACTATAAAGCAAAAATATTAAATGTTCTAAATTCCTCTGTTAAATCCCTAACATATACTATTCATATGCTAGTGGCCAGAGTGACTTGCAAGTCTGAAACTTCAGTTACCTGCTTTTATCCATTTAAAGCACTTTCACTTCAAATGTTGGCCAATTCTCTCTTAAAATGAAACCCAATGTTTAAATCCCTTTAAAGAGGCCACCCCTACTGTACATGTTAAACAAGCATCTCATGTACCTTAACTAGACCCACACACTAGATGTGAAAGGAGGTAGGTCTACCCTCTCCAATCACTTGCTCACACCAGGATGTCATATCAACCCCTCCTTTGGGCTTAGTCAGAAAGAACAAAATGTCCATTTAGCAAACTGAGATTTGATTTCTATTATTAATAAGGCTCATTTCAGCCAGTTGAACCTTAGACAACAAACTGCAAGAGGGAAGAGTGGGTGTAAAGAAACAGATGGGTAATAATCATGTATCACAGATAAATGACAATTTTTAAAAGAATTTGATAGGGTGTGGGCTGGGGTTTTTTCCCCCTTTCCTTCTCTTTCTCTCGCTCGCTCTCTCGCTCTCTCTCTCCTGGGGCTTTCAGTCTTTCTTTCTCCCTCTCTTTGGCAAGGGGTGGAGATTACAGACGAACAGGAAAGGGGAGAAAAAGCAAGACAATAGGCTAGACAGAGAGCCTGATCGGCATCCTAAAGCAGTCTGCCCCGCCCCCACTCCCCCTAACCTAACACCTGGTAGCTCAGTGGTCGTGATTTCAAAACTGGCAGACGCGGCCCACCCCCACCCCACCCAGCCTCCCGGGCCAAGGGTGGCCTCCAACCCGGGGCCGGGGGGGGGGGGGGGGGGAAGGCGGGGAGGGGGGAAGAAGAGGCAGGAAAAGAGGGGAAGGGAGATGAACGCTAAGAGAACACACTGGCAAGACCTCTTGGGGACCGTGGCCTTTTTTCCCTCCAAAGTGGTGGAGTGGCATAAAAATCCTGATCCACTGGGACCCGCTCACGTGCCAGCTCCCCTGCTCCAAACGCAGGCGGCTGCCGATGCCGCACCTGCGGCCCCGCAGCTGCAGCAGAGCGCCCCGCCTCGAGCCTTGACGACGCCCGGGGGAGGCGCCCAGCCCGCCTAGCACCCCGCACCTCCCTCCCCCGGAGGGCGGCGGCCGAGCCGGAAGGGAAGGGAGGGGCAGCCCCCGTGAGGCGATGCTTGCCACCCTCCAGCCCTGACCGAGAAGAAAGCCCCACCTGTCAGGCGTGGCACTCAGAGCGAGGTACGTCCGACCATCCCCTCGCAGAGGCCAGGGCTACTCAGCCCCGCTTTCCGAAGAACCTCCAATGCTACGCCGTCAACAGAAAGCTTTAGGCACAAAACACACTGCCGTGGGGAAGGGCTGCATCACAGACACACACACTAGCAGACGCTCGCCAATCGGGACCAACCAGCTCGCGCACAGTGGAGGGATGCTGTAGCGGTCTCAAATTCCATTAAAAGAAACAAAACCAAGGCAAGCCACGATGCCCATTCCCAAGACGAGCTTACCTCCGGCACAGCATCTTATCCATCCCTGGTCTTCCACTGTTGTTTTGCTTTGTTGTCTTTTCCTTTGGGTGTCTGCTTAATAAATGCACCCAGCTAATCTGCAGAGCAATGTTTTCTTCCCATCCTGCAGCCCCACACTTGTCAGAGCTGCCTGGAATTCCACCAGCAATGCAGCTTCTCCGCGTCAGTGGTAATTACAGACAACAGAGGCTGCTACTCCTTGACAAAAGGCTTTCGTTCCCGCTCGCCCCTTACAGCCCTGCCGTCAGAATTAAATCCATTTCCCGCACGAGGCTGGGAGGAAATGAGAGCTCTCTTGGCGGTGCGCGCTGACAAAAGGACGCTTGGCGGCGCCCACAGCGCCCCCTCTAGCGGGCCGCTGCCCGGCTGCCCCAGGGCCGTGGTGCTGCAGTGCCCCCCCACCCGCAGTCCCGCCGCCTGCGCTGCCGCAGTCCCGCCGCCCGGCCTCTGCCCACGTCCACTCCGGCACTACCAACTGCCCACAAGAGCCAAGAGCTAATATGAGGATTTTGTTACTAGGAAGAAAACCTGAAACGCGAGCTTCCTTAAACGGTATATCCTCCCTGGGATTAAAAAAAAAGTCTTACAGATGGATTATTTATTGTCTGGGAAGGACATCTGCCTTTAGAAAATTAACTATTAGGGATTTTAATAGCAATTGTTGGCCACTTGAATTCTGAGTCAAAATTATCCTAATTCTGACTCCATCTTCAACTAGAGCAAAATTTTTGTTGTTGTGCTATGGTCTGGGACTGTAAGCCCAGCTCCCTCCAATTCTCATTACTTCCTCCTCTCATCCCTCTCCTCATCCCAGAGGGAACAGGTGTTTAGTGAATAAGGGAACTGGGTGGAGAACCAGAATCCTTGATTACAGTCTCAGACCTGCCATTAACTAGCTGTGTGACTTTGATGCAGTCACTTAAGCTTTCTGGGCATTATTGTCTTAGTCTGTAAAATGACAATGTACTTAAAGCATCTTCCACTTGTACTTTCTGACAGTGTTTCTCAATATGCCCTCAGAGTAGGAATATGGTAGCTTGGACTTTAGACCCCCATAAGCTCCACCAGCTTCCCCAAATCAGCATCCACTCTACCAGCTTTTTTAAAATGTCGATTGCAGGGCAAGTATGGCTTCCAAAAAAGCCCCTGGTCACTTCCCCCAACCAGATCATGGCCCCTCTGCTCCTTCTAGATTCTGGGGCCATCATCACCTTTGACGCTCCCATAAAAATCACCTGACTCACTACAGTGCTGCTGCAGAATCAGAATCTCTGCAGGTGGGCCTAGGAAGTTTATTTTTTAACATGTATCCCTAGTAATTCCTTTGCACACTGCCATTTAAGAAATGCCACTCCATGTGAACTACTACTGATGTGGAAAAAGAGAAAATGCCCACCACAACCGCCCTAGAACTGGCAAATATTCCATCTCAGATGCCAGAGTAAGTTGTGTCTTTCTGCTCTAGCTCTTCCAACCTCTCCATCCCCCAGTCTCTGTCCCCTCCTTTCCTACCCAGAGCTGCTCATTCATTCCCATTTCACTTTCAGAATTGCTGAGTCCACAAGCCCTTTCCCCATTCTCCTGTCAAAACCTGCTAGAATTATAAGCAGCTGAGCCACCAGGACCCAAGGTCTGTCTGGCCAGAACCAGGAAGTCATGTGTTTATTGAGTCACTTCAGGTGGCTATGCATTATTGGTGCTGAGTGATGATATCTAGGGAGTCAGGAACATCTTCTCCACAGCCCTGAAATCATAGTTATGGTGGGCCCTTTTCTGAAATAGAACCCAAAAAGGGAATAGAGAATTTTTGTTTAGTCCAGAAATAGCAGGCTTCATAAATCCCCTTAGTCATCTTCATCACTCAAAAATTTCTCTTCCTGAGGTATTATTTAGCTTTCTCAAACTAGTAATTGCAAACTCTTGTTGGCTCCTGCCACTGTTCTGAGGGCTTTACATGCATTTTTATTCATTTAATCCTCAGAAGAACTCCATAAGGACAGTACTATTATTACCCCCATTTTACAGTTGAAGAGACTGACACACAGAGAGTTTAGGTAACCTGCCCAAGGTCATACAGCTAGCGGGTGGCTGGGCAAGGATTCAAATTCACACAATATGGCCCCAGAGCTTATAAACCCTAACCACTACCCTGCACAGGGCTTCTGGGAGGAGACCAAAAAAAAAATTAACTTTAAAATGCAGAACTAGTATAAGACACTGATAAAGTTGATAAGGCTGATATATTCTTTTCCCCAAAAAGTGATTCTGCTCTTCTAGTCATCACAGTCTTTAAAAAAAAAAATCCTCCAGCTTCTCTTACATGCCATCTGAATGTGACAAGTGCTGGAAAGATTAGTGCCATCCTATGGCTTTAGGAATTGTTCAGATATCAGATAGGAAGCAAAATTTCAATATATAAATTTCCATATTAATAACCTATATGGAATTTTAGTTGAAGTTCCTGAAGTTCTCACTCAATTCCAAATTTAACTTTGAAATCCTACAAAAGGAACAAGAATGGCAGTTGGCTCCATAGGCTATCCTGGGAAGATCACGAGAATTCAGAGTCCCCATCACCGAAAACCCAAGATGCTTAGCCCTTAACTAGGGACAGGAAAACACAGAAGACTCCATGTCAGGCCCAGAAAATCACATCTGACTAGCCCCCAATGACCAGATAGTTTAAAATTAGATTTTCTGACTGATTTGCAATAAAATTGTTTCTTTAAGATTTTATTTATTTATTTGACAGAGAAAGACACAGCGAGAGAGGGAACACAAACAGGGGGAGTGGGAGAGGGAGAAGCATGCTCCCCGCTGAGCAGGGAGCCCGATGCGGGGCTCAATCCCAGGACCCTGGGATCATGACCTGAGCCGAAGGCAGATGCTTAACGACTAAGCCACCCAGGCGCCCCTGCAATAAAATTATTTCTGATCCCGATGTCTCTTGATAAAAGATGTTTCTGGTCAGCAATAACTTATGAAGTGAGCAGATGGGAGTGTAACAGACACCCGCAGTGCGTCCACCTCCTGGTAGTCATGTCCTTGTGTAATCCCCTCCCCTTAGGCGTGGCAGGACCTGTGACTTGCTCCTGACCGACAGAATACAACAAAGGGAGGTGGGGCACCTGAGTGGCTCAATTGTTAAGCACCTGCCTTCTGCTCAGGTCTTGATCTCAGGGTCCTGGGATTGAGCCCCGCATCAAGCCCTGCATCGGGCTCCCTGCTCCACAGGAAGCCTGCTTCTCCCTCTCCCACTCCCCCTGCTTGTGCTCCCTGTTAAATAAATAAAATCTTAAAAAAAAAAAAAAGAATACAGCAAAGAGGATGGGATGTCACTTCTACGATTGCCTTACATAAGATTCTCCATCTTGCTGACTTTCTTGATTGCCTTCTTGGTTTGTATGCTTTGATTAATTAAGTAGCAATGCTAGGAAGACCTACATAGCAAGGAACTGAAGGTGACACCTGGCCAACATCCAGCTAGAAACTGAGGTCATCAGTCCAAAAGTTCTAGAGGAAATGAACTTGGAAGCAGATCCTTCCCCAGGCAAGCCTTCAACTGAGACCCCAGCCCAGACTAACACTTTGATTTCTGCCTTGAGAGTGAACTTAAAGCAGAGGACCCAGCTAAGCCATGCCCAGGTGTGACTCCTGATCCACTGAAACGGTGAGATAATGAATGTGTTAAGTTGCTATGTTTGTGGTAATTTGTTACACAGCAATAGATAATACAGTGCCTTAGCACCCTCCAAGCCCAGGCATACTTATCAGTGGCCTTCCCCAGGGCATGTCAGAGGTGCTGGAGGGATTGACACCCCAAAGGATCAGCTCTCAAAGAATGACCATCGGGAGTTGATGAACAACCTAGCTCCCTCATTCCTAAGTTTTGGAAGGACACCTCTGAAGCATGTTGTGCATAGTCTCCCAGAGTGCCTCAGAAGGACTGAGTCCCGGTGGCCCACAGCAGTAACCTGCTCAGTCATGCATCTTTCATAGTCTGGCTTTTCTTCCCTATATTACTTCCACACTCCCCTATTGGTAATTCCTGGGTTTGTCTCCCATATAAACTACAAATCATGGCCTACTTTTAGGGAAACCAAATTTAAGACAAGAGAGAGAGGGGAAAGACAGTGCTTTCAAAGCAAGACCAATGATAAATTCTAAGTCAGGTTTCCTGAAGATGGCCCTCTCCGAACAAGCGACAGTTCAGCAAACCCTGTGGCTGAGGCCTGCTGTGAGAAGAAAATGAACTGGGAGTCGAGGGCCTGGGGCTCCAGTCTCAGTCCTAGTGACTGTGTGGACTGAGGAAAAACTGACCCCTGGCCTCACTTCCTAGCTGTAAAGTAAGGGTAAAAGCCTTTGCCCTCTGCTACGGGCTGAACTGTGCTACTCCTACCTCCCCCCTGTCACCAATTGCTATGTTGAAGTCCTAACCTCCAGAACCTCAGAATGTGACTGTATTTGGGGATGGGGTCTTCAAAGAGATAACTGAGATAAATTAATGAGATAATTAAAAGATTAAAAAATGCGGTGATGTGGATAGGTCCTAATCCAACAGGACGGGTATATTTATAAGAGGAAATGTGGACACAACTGGCACAGAGGGAAGACCATGTGAAGTCAACCACCAACAGCCAAGGAGAGGAAAACCAACTCTGCTGACACCCTGATTTCCTGATCTCAGGTAAACTTCTGTTGTTCAAACCACCCAGTCTATGCTACGTTGTTATGGCAACCGTAGAAAACTAAGTCTCCTACCACCCAGGATTATCGTGCAGACAAAATAGGATACCAAATGTAAGTACTTACAGTGCAGTTATTACTGATCAGAATGAGAAAACCAGCAGCCATAACCCCGGCCACAGAGGGAAGAGCCAGACAGAGCGGGGTGGTAAAGCAGCACACACAGCTGGCGGAAAGGCCCCAGACTCCAGAGGAAATGCAGTCCTTATTATAAAGTGGCAGAGAACTCGCTTAAATGGTGTCCTAGTGTTTTGTAGAAGGTAGAACTTACAAGTGATAAAATTAGATATTTAACAGAGGAGACTTCTAAGCAAAATAGTGGAAGTGTAACTAGGGTCCTTCTTACTGCTTATGGTAAAATACAAGAGGAGAGATGAATTAGAGGAAGAATCATTAAACACAAAGGAACCAGAGCTTGAAGACTAGGAAAATTCTCAGCCCACCTATGTTGCAGAAAGTGAAAAAACTTGTT